AGACCCCATCTCTGGGGGAAAAAAAAAAATTAGCTGGTTTGGTGGCATGTGCCTGTATTCACAGCTACTTAGGAGCCTGAGGCAGGAGGATTGCTGCTTGAGTCTAGGAGGTCGAGGCTGAAAAGAAAAAAAAAAAAAACTGCTGGGCATGGTGGCTCACACCTGTAATCCCAGTGCTTTGGGAGGTTGAGATGGGAAGATCACTTGAATCCCAGGAGTTTGAGACTAGCCTGGGCAATGTAGTTAGACCTCATCTCATTTAAAAAAAAAAAAAAAATTAACAACAAGCCTTAAATACTTAGAGCCAGGCCAATTGATTTAGCATTTACCTAAAGGAGAATTCATCCCTAATGAAAGTTGGATCCTTCCTGAGGATGTACAAATGGAGTTTATCGTAGTGTTATAACAATGAAAAGTGGAAACAACCTAAATGACCCAAAATATGGGATTACCAGGGGCTAAATTATAGTACATTCAAATGGAGAGAATCTGTAGCCATTGAAAGTGATGGTACAGGACTGTATGTAATGGCATGGGATGTATGTTTGTGTGAGGTGCATTTTATAGAGCATTTTGTAAATTTAAAAATTTGAAATATATATATAGAGATTTTGTAAATTAAAAAATTTGAAATATATATATTTATTTGTATATATGTATGTATAGAAAATTCTATCTGGAAGCATATACCCCAGATGTTAATAGTGGTTGTGGCAAAACCATGTTTGATTTTTGGGTCCTTTTAAAAGAAAAAATAGTTTTTTAAACTTCTGTACAATTGAGGTAAATTATTTTTTGTTTGTTTGTTTTTGTTTTTTGTTTTTATTTTTTTGAGACGGACTCTCGCACTGTCACCTAGGCTGGAGTGCAGTGACGCGAATTCGGCTCATTGCAACTTCCACCTCCTGGGTTCAAGTGATTCTCCTGCCTCAGTCTCCCGACATAAATTACTTTTATGAGAGCATGTATGAACTATAATTTTTAAAAGATTGATATTATAGACTGGGTGTGGTAACTCAGGCCTGTAATCCCAGCACTTTGGGAGGCCAAGGTGGGTGGATCACCTGTCAGGAGTTCGAGATCATCCTGGCCAACCTGGTGAAACCTCATCTCTACTAAAATACAAAAATTAGTTGGGTGTGGTGGTGGGCACCTATAATCCCAGCTACTCAGGAGGCTGAGGCAGGAGAATTGCTTGAACCTGGGAGGCCAAGGTTGTGGTGATCAGATCACACCACTGCACTCCAGCCTGGGTGACAGAGTGAGACTCCATCTCAAAAAAAAAAAAAAAAA